TTATTTCATTAAAATATCATATGTAAAATATATTTTGTGACAACTAAATTTTCAATAATTGAAATACTTGTACCATGTATGTGTAAAAAATACATGTACAATTGAAATGATAATTCTCTTTGAGTGTTTCTAAGCTCTGGTAACATACTATATATCCTTATGATTTCACTAATTGAGATCAAGGTTCTCGATTTGCCAACTCAGGAGGTGGAAAATTTATACATCCCTTGTCTCCACCCCTACTTTTGAGGATCAAATTCTTGATCTGCTTGATACAGCTTTGTTAAATACTATTAAATGTTCACGTTAAGTTTGTTGAGAGAATAAAGTATAGAAGCTCCAAAACTCTATAGCCCTGTTTGGTATGTAGGTCTCAATTTAGAAGGACTAAGATTGTGATTAGGACTGAAGTTTTTAAATTATGTTTGGTATGGAGTAATATTTAAATAAAATACCTACCTTTATTTTATTTTACAATTAAACATAAATTATGAAAATATCATAACGCCCATAAGGGGCAAATTTGGCATTTTGAAATCTGGAAACCCTTCTTCTCAATGACTCACACAACGCCTCTCTCATGACTCATCTTCGCACTCCTCTCTTCTATGTTCTCACTATCTCAGCCCCTCTCAGGTGTTAGTCTCACTATCTCAGTTCTCAACTACTTAGCACAATGTCAGTAACTCAGCCTTTATTCCATTTCACCTTTCTTCATTATTTGTCTTCTTTAATGATGGTAAAGCAGCAGCTCGAGATCGACACAATGATAGACTAGCAATAATGTAGATTGGGGCTAAAAACCCATCATCGTTGTTGTCGTTCTTCCTGGTTTAAGGAAGAAGGGAGGGTTGTGTGTGGCTATATAGATCAAAGCAAAATATGTGCCTGTATGTGGCTGCCGTCATCATTCTGGTTATGAGGAAGGGTGAAGGCTAGAGGGTGAAGAGAGACGAGAGGGAAGGGGTGGAGGGCAGAGGGATAGACGAGAAGGGAGAGTGATGGAGGGCATTTTGGTCAAAAAAATTAATCTTAATATTGATTTCTCGATGCCAAGGGGTGGGTGGTACTGAGTAATCCCACCTTAGTAGGATCGGTACTGATTACCAAATATGAAAAGGTGGAATTGCCTAATACCAATCCCAATCTCACTTTGTCAATGCTCTGTACCAAATATGGCCTATAGTCTAAAATGATTTTTGAAATTCCATGCATTTCTTTAACGAGCTTTATCCTTTTTACCCATTTTTGGTGCGTTATGATATCACATCTAAAGCCTAATTTAATTTAATCTATAGGTGGTACCACATAATAGTTAAAGGAGGCAAATGCACCCTTAAATTTAAGAAAAATTACAAGAAGGATTTATATATTCCAATTTTTTGCACCCTTTAATCTAAATATTTTACACTCCTTAGTTCAATTTCAAAAAATGTTTGGGTTCTAACAAATTTTATGCTCTTTTGAAATTAGAAATGATATTATTGGTCACCACAACAACAATAAAAAAATATTTTTTTACCATAAAATTTATAAAAAATTGATTGTGAAATGTATGAAAGATTCATTAATAAATAATTATCCAGTGACTTGTATTTAAAAAATATATTTCTCTTAATATTAATAACAGGATGATTGTTTAACAATTTAATAACATAAAACGACAATACAATATTTTTTAAAACTATTAATTTTAAAAATGTCTCATACCAGAACTCACAGCCTCTAATTTAACACATCCTAATCCCATGATTGACAGTGCTAAATTAGGCTGAGTATCTATACCTCAATAGAGCACTAATTATTAGCCAACTGCCTTAATTATTAGCCATTAGGCTTTGTTTGGTTTAAAGGGAGGGGATAGAGAGGAAGGGAGGTGAGGAGAGAGGAGGGGAGGGAGGGGGAGGGGGGGAGGGGAAGGGAAGGGGACATCCCTCTAATTTAGGGGGGAGGTTTTGGAGGGGAGAGGGAGGGAAAATTTTAAAATTTCTCCTCCCTTCTCCTCCCCTCCCCCCAACCAAACATAAGGTAAGCTGCGTCTCACACACAATTCGACAATACTTGCACACACGTGCAATCACCTTTTTCAATAAACATTTACGTGAATTACTGTTTTCCCACCTGATTTTATAAGACCTATTCATTTAAAATAAAAAATAAGAAATTTGTAATAATTTAAAAATTTTATAAAAATAAATTTGTTCTGTAAAAATTTTATTAAAAATATATGCTATTTTATGTTTAATTATAAGCATAAAAAATAATTATTAATTAATTATTTTTAAATTTTATGATATGTTTCTTAATTTTTATCTTGTAAAAATGTTTTATTATTTAAAAATTGTACTCTCTTCATTAAAAAATGTAAGGTATTTTTAACCGAATCTTACCTCCAATAAAGTAATTACTTACTTTCAAACTAATTCTATCTTTTTATAATTATTCCTATTAAACACTCTATAATAAGTATAAATTCATTATTAATAGAGGTACTTTTGAAAAAAGGGTAATGATTACACCTCAAAATACTAAAAATGCCTTACATTTTTTAACATATAACTACTCAAAAAATATTTTATATTTTAAAATGGAGGGAGTATAACATCTTCATCTATCACTATCTTGTTTATTTAAAACGTTTTTTTATCCATTATATTATATTATTTTTTAAAAATTAAACAAAATTGCCTCGTGTCTCAACTTACAAAAGGTCAAGCATAAGCACTAGAGCATTGACCCATCTCCCTATTTACAATATCAAGACAGAACAAGGGAGCTTTATTGAGTAAACAAAAATCATTCCCCTCAGAGTGCGCACGTCTGGCCAATAAATCAGCACAGCTAGGGTCAAATCCTGTGTACGTTTATGTTATGGAGTGCTTACAGTGCAATTGGTGAAGATATTTACATTTCCAAGATAGTGGGAGGGGTTTGAAAAATTACCTCTAAACATTCAATGCTTTCCAATTTGTATAGACTAATAACTACTCCCTTTTGTCCGAATTATAAGCCCGTTTTTAATAGATATACCCGATGTATAATATTGGGCAGATATATGAGAACTTTCTATTTTAAAATAAAATTTCAAAAAAAATCCATTCCATTTTACATTGTTCACTGTCAAGTGAGGTCTTCCCACTTTTCATGAAGACTTCCTGTGAGAGAGAATTACTTAAAAAATAATATTATATTATTTAAATTACTTTTTAATTTTTTATTTGAGGGTTATTTTTTAAAATTTTATTTATAATTATTCTTTATATTATTGTTGTATTGGTATTAATAAAATTAATAGATATAATTTATAAATAGGATTGAAGAAAGTATTTTATAATTTTTATCTCTCCTTGTTTGGTTGGAGAGAAGAGGAGGTAAAATTCAGTAAAATTGAAAAATTCTCTCCTCTTTTTCTCTCCAATTAAACACAACGTTAGTATATATATAATTTTTTTTATATAGAATATTTCGATTGGGCTTCCTTCTTTCGATATAAAATTACAAACAACTGCGTTGATGTGCCTGCATAATTTTTATTACATTAAAATTAAAATAATATATTAAATCTCACGAATGGAACTTTATTTTTTCGTCTTTGTCAACGCGCAGACAAAGTCAAACCAAGTGAATGCTCTATAATGCACATACTCCTCCAATAGTCACCACAATTTTCTGCTGATTGGGTATCGCTTTTACTAGCATGAGCACTCCTCCAGTAATCATTTTTTTTTTGGCCTAAACTTCTTATAACATATTTACTTGTCTATTATTTACTTGTCTATTTTAATAATGTTAATATTAATATTGTCCCGTTAGATCTTACTTTCTATAGTTCTATTTATAAATTATTTCTAACTAGTCTAAATAAATCAGTGAAATTAATTAAAATCAATTTATCTTCCTAAAATTAGAATTCTTTCAAAAACATTAATCAATCAAAAGTAACTAATCGCTCCATAAAATCTTGCCAATGTCTCTCAGTTTCTTTCTCACTCAAAATTGCTAAACAATATTTACATAAGGTTGTCAAACTTGTGATTTTAAACTAACTCATGATAAAAATATAAATTCAGATTGCAAAATCAGACCATAAATTCAAAAGAGTTTATCTTTATTAATAAAAAGTTATTAAAAATATATAATTAAATAATTAATATATAAAATATGATCATAATTTGACTTTCATGTGTTTCAAGTATAAATAATTGAAATTAAATTTATCTACATTGATAAATTATCATACAAAACATAAAAATTTTAGAATAAAACAGCTTATTTTTGATATTTTTGTTTCTTTTTTATGAACATTAGTTTTGCTTTTTAAGTTTTTTTTCTCTTCAAACTAGTTCTTATCACTTTTATGAACTAAATTCTATGTAATATATGCTTAACTTACTCAACTCGATAAAAAATCAATGAGCTTAACAAGTTTGACTAATTTTATATTCAATTTGAATTTATGAATTAATTGGCACAATTTTGTAAGTTATAAATGTAAAAATAGTAAATTCATAAATTTGACCAAGTTTGTATTTAGTATAAATTTGTAAGTGAGTTGACACGATTTTATAAGTTAAAAATATAAGAACGTTAAATTTAATAAGTTAACTTGAGAATTTAATAACTAAGAAAAACACTATCGAAAAAAATGAATTGTTCTGTACATTTTGTAAAATGATTTATAAATAAAAATATTTAAAAAAGAAAACTTCTATAAGATGACTGATGTTGAAAAAAAAAAGAGTGAGCAGTTTTGTTTTACTTTTACTTCTGAAAGCAGATCGTGGGGGCTGTAGATCTTATCTTGTGGGCCGAACACGACGGCAATGCTTGAATCGAAAACGGACAGTCTTTTTACAATTTTAAATTGTTTATTTTTTTTTGTATGTAGGCCCAAGTAAAGGGCCAACCCAAGAGCCCCCATGTAGTCGGCTCCACAGATTAGGGCCGAGTGGGCGAGCCCCGTAAATATCGCACCATTTCAGGGTTACTTTTTACTTCATCCCTGCTGTGCTCCCCTGAGCGGCTGAGCCGGCGTTCGCCTTCACTTTGCCCTTCGATCTCTGAACTCCGACATTGCCTCCAACTCGCGTTCACTCCCACGCAGTACCCATCATTCTCTATCCTCCAACGAATTTTGCTCTCATCCAAATCCAGCTGTTATTAGGGTTAGGGTTTCAAACTTGCTCATATTATGCATAAAAAGCCCCTAGCTCAACACTCGAATCAGCAATGTACGGACAACTCCCATCAATGAATGTCACTAATCGGATTAGCACCGGAGAAGATGAAGATGGCGCTGGCATTGGCGCGGAATCCATTGATAATCACAACATCCATTACGAAACGCAAGCCCTCGAAGATGGTAGTGGTGGAGTTGGGGGCGTAGTGGAGGATGTGAACTCCGATAACGTATATGTTTCTGGCAGTGGTTCTGAATTGTCCATCCCTCACGAGGATCCTAGCCAGCTTACGTTATCATTTCGTGGTCAAGTATATGTTTTTGACTCTGTTACCCCTGATAAGGTGCGGTTTTCATTCTCCCTGTTGATTTCTTTTTGCAATTACTAGTGTATTCTGGATTCTTTAGATTCCTTGTCTGCCGATATAAAATCCGAAGAAACTGTTTTTTCTGGGCTCTCTCCACTCTCAAGCAATTTATCGTTGGATAGCGATGGTAAATTCGCCTAAACTGTCTGCTCGACTGGGCCTAAGCAACATGAGACTGTAGATATTTTAATAAATGTTTTGCGTATCTGTTTTCTTCCAATTTTAGAGCATCAAGAGGATGATCAAATCATAACCTCAAGGGACGTTTCAGGAATAAAATTCTGCATTTGGTTTCACATGACAGGTGCAAGCGGTATTGTTACTGTTGGGTGGATCTGAAATACCACCGGGTTCGCAATGTGAGGATATGGCCCCTCAAAATGAGAGGGTATGCCTGACAAAACTTCATTAGTGCTCAAACGCAGATTGCCACGTGGCAATCTCATTGTTAGTTACATTTCCAAAATATTTGTGTCCTGCTGTAGGGTGCGATGGATTACCCTGGAAGATGTAGCCAGCCACACCGAGCAGCCTCTTTAAGCAGGTTTCGTCAGAAGAGAAAAGAGCGATGCTTTGATAAGAAAGTTAGATACAGCGTGCGTCAAGAAGTTGCTCTCAGGTCTGACAATAATTAGCATGCCAGGTCTATATCAGTGTGCGGTATCTTTGCTTTGGAGTATTACATTGATATGTTTAAAGTACATACTGTTAACTGTTACTTTCTGTTTGGCTTCAAATTTGCTTTATTAGGCCATTTATTTTCGAGTAGGTATTATGTGCGAAGGTATATACTATGCGCTTCATGGCGTCACCTCATTGTGAAATGGCTTCAGACCTTTATTTTTTTAGTTTGCAGGACTTAAAGTGAATATTTTCGGTCCTGATCCCAATTTGAAAACATATACTCCCCCGGTTAAAAAATATAAAATATTTTTTGAAGAGTTGGATGATCAAAAATGTAAGGCGTTTTTAGTCTTCCGAGCTATTGTTTTTTTTTTTCAGAAGTGCTCTTATTGATAGTAACTTTATATTTATTATAGGGTGTTTAATAGGGGTAAATATGAAAAAATAAAGTTAGTTTGAAAGTGTGTAACTACTTTATTTAGGGGTGAGATTTGATTAAAAATGCCTTATATTTTTTAATGGAGGGGTATCTTTTTAGCTTTGTGAACAGCTGAGGTGGTTCTACTTCAAAATATTTCCCAAATCTTCACTTCATTGAGGAACAACTCCATCATAAATTTGTAGTCTTTTGAAACGATGTCTTTGATTGAGAATTTACTGAATGTGATGGAATAATTTGTTTATCGTCCTGAGTTTCTCTTTGACAAATGATCCCCCCCTCCCCATCAACAATTTTTTTAATTGAGTAAATTGATATTTGTGTATAACGTGTGCTTGAACAGTATCCATGTGAGTAGGTTGGGAATCTACTTGACGCTTCTGTTTATCCTGAATATGCTAGAACAAAGGAGGGGTAGAATATTTTACTTCTGACTTTTTCTATCAAAAGTTCTTGCATTGAAATATAATTGATGTTATTACTATTTATCAAAACAGGAAAATGTGTAGTCGTATATGTTTCTGCGTTTGACTTGGTGTTGATGTCCATAACTCCACATAATTGATAACATTTATCACTATGACATTTTTTAAGGGTTGCTTTGATAATCCATTTTTAAATTTTTATGATACTGTCACTTGTCATGATGTCATCGCCAAATAAGGAATCTTTCATGTTCTCATGTTCTTGCCCATCACGTGTCATCTTCATTTATTCCCTTGTAGGTTATGGTTGCGGCAGTTGTAGTTTGCATCATTACCTGTATCTGACTTATCTGACTTTTGATTGTAGGATGCACCGTAATAAGGGTCAATTTACTTCTTCTAAGAAACAAGATGGAGCTAATAGTTTGGGTACAGTCCAAGAGTCAGGCCAGGATGACAATCAATCAGAAACCCTGTGAGTTTCATGTTGCCCCCATAATTATGCCTATATTGTTACTTCCTATGGGATTTCGTGTTGTTGATTTTGGTTTTGTGGTGGAGACGTGGCTTGCCATTGATTCCTTCTCTTGGTTTATAATATATATTTTTCTATGACATCATTATATGGGATTTACATGCTCAGAGGAGCTAGTATTTTGGGATGTATTCAAAGTCACTGGAATATTATCCACATGATCTGAACTCTTGCAACTCATTCTATTGACGGTCAACTCAACTTAGTTGACTATGCTATATCAGATTATGTAGGCCCATGGGTTTGGCCTAACACAACGTCACATCTATGATGCTAAATCTCCAAATAATCTCTCTTCAAATAGCAACATAACAAGAAGTTTGATCTTAAGAATTTTTGAAAAGATTGAAACAAGTTCAAGCTTGTACAAGCCTCCATGCTTAGTTCCTTGCATGAGTACCTCCTTGCTTTGTGTACCTTTCTCAAAACACTCATGAGGATAAAACTCAAAAAACACATTCTCCGTAGTAAACTGAGATGCAAATAAAATATTCTTTTGCATTTGTGGCACATTGTCTCGGCCCAATACAACAATGTCAGATTATAGTTACAAGAAGTTCCATGCACACAACTATATGCTTGACCCCGAGATTTGTTATGGTGTGCTTGCCATTTTGACTCATTGCTTTTTGTATAGGTGCACACATTGTGGCACTAGTTCAAAATCCACCCCAATGATGCGGCGTGGGCCATCTGGACCAAGGTCACTGTGTAATGCTTGTGGACTTTTTTGGGCAAATAGGGTAAGTATTTCTCCAATGTTCTGTTCCCGGGAAGTCATTTTTGTCCTATAACCTAATGAAATTAACTAAATTGTTTTGTTTCCTTTTCAATTAATGTCTAACATTCTTCAGCCATACACCATTCTGATTCTGATGTTTGGTTTTAAGATTCTTTTTCTGAAAAAAAGAAAATCTAATATATTAGATGGGTGCATGTTGCTTAATATGTGCATTCTCCTAGAGTAGTTTTGGCACAAGGAATAATATATTGGAATCATGGAAAACGAGACACATATAGTTTGTGCAATGTTTATTTTGTCTTTTATATTATTACTCAATAGCATCTTTCCCTGTTTATCACCTTTTCCTATGTAAGGGTACAATGGTCATTTAACATCATATCTCCATTCCCTTCCCCCTTGTAACATTTTGTGTATCAATCATTGCCCTGTGCATGGACACCGGCATCTCAAGCTGTGCAGAACTTGTGTAATTTTTTAGAATAGTAAAGAATATGACTTTTGTTTGAATAATTAGCTATTTGGCATTAAAAATTATTAAATTAACCTGAAAAGCTATTTGTACCTTAGACGTAATTATTTAAAACTACTAATTCAACATTTCCAATCACTTATTTGTAGCTGTGCGGCGACTGCCTCAAGGCTTTTAATGGTACCCCAAAAGAAAAAAAAAATACAATATCAACAGGGCACTTAGGAAAAGGAAAATGGGGTGGGGTGATATAATCTGGTGTTCCTAGTATGATGCTGATACCTTGTTTTGTATTTATTCCTGGCTGTCAAGGTTGTCTTTAGGGTGTAGTTCGTACTGGAAGGGGCTTTGTCTTATAATCTACTGTGACTAAAATGATACGAGGGGCTTCTGGTGGGCCATATCATATTTGGTTTGGGATAAGCTTTGAAGCTGTGATTGGATGTTTCAAAAGTTTACGATATCATATATGTTATGCAAGTTAATCTTTCCTTTTTGTAGTAGTTTTAAGTAGAGAAGTCAGTGTCAAAAGTTTATGATATCATATATGTTATGCGAGGGATGGGTGTTGGTTCAACCTTTTGTGTGTAAATTTTATACTGAGGACTATTCTAACATTTTCTAAATAAACAGTAATGTGAATCTTCAGTTTTTTGTGTTATCTTTCAGTTTTGGTATTGAAGGCATTGCGTTTTAATTTTGAAGATCTCTGTTGTTTGAAATTATTAAAGTGATACATATGTGTGGCGATTAATAGATATATTTAGATACACACAGTAGCTATATGTTCCAAGTCCAGGAACTATGCTGAATAGTGAATACTAATTGCTATTCATATGATAATGGAGGCTTGCTCTTAGAATCGTAGTTCCATTTTCTACTTTTAGCCGCATTATAGATTTATGTATGGTGATTAGAGAATATCTAGGAGTTGAGTAGGAGTGGAGCCAGGGGAGTCCATTGGTCTATTATGGGTGTCATGTAGGACCAGTAGTAAAAAAAGGAGGGAGAGGGAGAAATATGGAGATATTGAATAATAGTGGCCAAACAGGCAGGGATATGGGGATACAGAGATATGGAGGGAGAACGGGGGACAAAAAAGGGGGGGGGGAATATTTTGTAATTTATGACTGAAATGACTGAAGTTTACAACTGAGGGTTTATAGAGGAAACTAAAAGCACATGCTTAAAACAATTACAAAAAAAAAAAAAGAAGTAGTAATGGTATTTCTAATTGAAGCATTAATTGATATCTTAATTCTTGATGTGCAAATTATTTTTATCAATGTCATTGGCCATAATACTCTAGATATTCTTTTCTACTCTGGCTTTGGTACTGTTATGGTATTTACTTGAGAAAGAGAGAGGAAAAGAGAGAAGAAACAGAGATAGATAGAAATAGAGAAGCAAATCTGAATATTAAGTACGCAATTGCCTCTTATTTTTAGGCATTATTCTCTTCCCAATAGATATCCAAATCCTACTAATATTAAGATGGTATTTAAATCCTATCTAAAATCTACTTTTATTATTTGACTCTATTTAAATCCTAACTAGCTATAACAGTAAGCAAGTTCTTAATTCTTTTCTTGTCTATAATTACATAAAAAGTGTGAAAAGAAAAGAAAAGTGATTTTAAGAATAGAAAATGGCATTGATGCGCATGCTTTAAAAACGTAATAAAAAGGGAAATCCCTTCTCTCATTCTTACCAAATAGTTCAACATTGATGGACACTGAGGTAGTATGGCATGCTTAAGTTCTACATTGGGTAGCATGGAATATTCTATCAGGTATTTTGATGGGTTTGTTCTTCTACCTCAATAACTAACTTTTGGGGAATGGTTCTCCATCCCACTTAGGTATCTATTGATTAGTATCAAAGCTGGTGGTTGGCGATTTTTGAAATGGCTACTTGTAGAAGGTTTTGACCAATAAAGCCGGGTGAAGTTTCACAAAGTATAGCTGCAGAGATGTTGGCCCTCCAAAGGAAGCCAATTGAAGTTTCACAAAGCATGATAAGATATGTTTAAGCCAATTGAGTAGTATGAGATGCTCTATGGGGTGTGTAAGTGGGTTGATTCTCCAACCTCAATAACTAGCATTTAGGAGAGCTCCTCATCTCTCATCTTAATAAACTAGCATTTAGGGTAGAATACCCCATCCCACTTAGGTACTCATTAGACATCTTGGACGGAAATGATAGAAACAATGATGACAAACTCAGCTATGGACTCGACAAGACTCAACATATCAATAATAGCAAATGTGACATGGCATAGCACTTTGGTTGTTTAAACTTTAAACCTTTGCTTGAAGTCATGCCACTTGGGGGTTTAATTTCCCCGACCTTGGTCATCTTTTATAAGTTTTTCTGAGTGCATTTCAGAATTTTCACGTTATTTACATTCTAACTTCACTTCCAATTCCTTTTCTTAATTTAACATGATAATGTTACCACCACCATTGCCACCATCAATATCAAATGAGCATGTAGATTCTAGGGATTTTACTACTAGGACATTAATGGGCTCTTATATGGTAGCGTAATCTTGAGAAAATTTTCTTTCTCTAATTTAGATGGAAACTGAGCATGATCTTGATCGTGTATGACCAAACGCTTATAGAAGCCTCAAGCATTGTTATTTATTCATTGATCAAATCACTCCATATAAACTTTCCCCATTCTTCAGTATGTTTACTTCCATCACTTTTTGGGATTATAAAATTCTTTGGAGATCTTGTTGATTCATTCTCAATGTTTAATTGTCAACTAATTAAATTCTATCTTTCCTTTGCTTTGTAAGAGGTGCCACTATATTGGTTTGTCTCAAATTTGCAACTTCATTACTCCTAGCTTCTGAGTTGTCAGTAGCTCGCAACCTTTTGACCATGGTATGCTGCAGGGTACTTTGAGGGATTTATCCAAGAAGAACCACGAACATTCTCTTGCACCAGCTGAGCAGGTACACTTTGATTTACCATGTCGGGCTACTTATCTTAATCGTTTTTTCATTTGCTTTTGTATCTGTTGCCAACCATTTCCTTCCATTTTTTTGGGGGCCAACCACCTTTTTCTTCTATTTTAAACTTCAAGGTAATGTGATGAAACAGGAAAGAGGAAAGGGGAAGAGAGAGAAGAGAGAAAGGAGGAGGAAGAGAAAAACTGTACAACTTTTATTTAGTAATGTTCAAAAGCTCAATACAAATGAAAAATCTAACTATATTTATAAAGCTCTAAAAATAATAAAATAATAAAAATTTAAATTCAAATCATGAATTCTAAATCTGATCTTAAAAATATTGATATATAAGATAACGATAAAATAAAATAATAAATCATAATTCTAATGAATAAATATCTTGATAGATGATCCTAACATCTTAGATAAATTTTAATTATCCTAATTAACCATTATTTCATATTTCATTATAATGTAAGCATTTTTCTGTCTGTTTGGCACCTGATGACCAGGTTGAACGGGATGATTCACACTGTCGGACCGCCAACCCTGCATGTAACAATCTTGGGGCTTTCTGTGATAATGATAAGCCAGCATAGATGATCGTTGAATTTTCCAGTCAGAGAATGCCAATCATTGGCTATGGTAATTTTAGGATTATAGTAATTTATTCGGTTTGGGCACTAGAATGTACAGTTATAGCGTATGCTCTTAATCAATACAAGAGGTTTATTTCTCCATGCTTGATAATTTGCGCAACCCGTTTATTCTGGATGTGTAAACTGAAAGGCTGGGATTTATGATATCATGGGGCTTTCAACCAGTTGTTTTAGTTCGACCATGATATATCTGCATTTGCATGTAATATCTGCTTTAAATGTGTTTTGGGCCTTGATGCATGTTGGTCATTCGGGTTCTCGTGGTTGGGCCTATAGTCGACACATTTCAAGAAAAGCAAGATTTGAGCTCATCAGGGTGTAAAAATATTGTTCGATACTTTGATATTTGAAAAAAGGGGAAATTATTATTTGAACCAACGAGTTAGTTGTTATTCTATGAAGAGATGTATGTATAAAGGGGGCAAAAAGTGAAAAACCCATTTAAAAGAGTGATATAAATGAATAGCTATTATGATACAATGAAATGTGACACTTGAACAGGTACTAGACTATTACTTTTGTTAGCTGAACAATTCAGACGATGAATGTAAACGTGGTAGATTTTCCCTCGTTCGGCTTGTTTTCAGCCAGCCAAATGGTACGAATACAGGGCTTCGTTTCTCATGACCAGTGGAATAGCATTTCCATTTCAATGTATGCGATTCAAAATATATAATATTTGTTATATTCTTTTTATTGTTATTTAATATATTTTACACAAAATTATGTTACATTTTTTTAAGCTTCAGTATATTTTTCATGTTAATTCCTAAAATTGTTTTGGCATGTAAAATGAAAGAGATTGAAAAGGTGCATGTAATGGGAAATAATTTTGTATATAAAATTACTGTCTTGACTTATTTTAAGGTATGCTTATTTTTTGAAAAAAAAAGGTTTGAGGCGTGTGTGTGTGTGTGTGTGTCGTAAAAAGCGCAACAAGTCAGCATTTTTTGATGACAAATTGGGTGTCGTGCTCCTTTTGAGGCTGAGGAAAGGGCTGCCCTTAAGTCGCTGAAGCTAGCATGGGAGATGGGCTTCAGAAAGATCATACTTGAGTCTGATTCTAAGCCTCTCGTGGACATGATATAATACACCAGGAAAGGAAAAGGGATATGAACAAGTGTAGCTTGGTTTTTGTTCAAGTCCAATCTAATTGGGATGTTCACGTTAGGAAAATTCCACGTGACTGAGTTAGCTGATATGTTAGCTGAGGGGGGAATTTCTTCCCCATGCCTTTTTTATCCTACTCCCACATTCTGCAGGGACTTAATGCACAATGAGTGCTTGAGATCTCAATCTCTATGTTTGTTTAATCTTTATGTAATTAGGGCTAGTCTTTCTTCTTTACCCAAAAAAAAAATCTGAGTTTAGATAATCTAACATGAACAGAAAAAAATGTAATTACAAGGTATGACATGAACCCCATATATATAGGTATGGTTTATATGGTTTTCTTTATAACAGCATAATTGCATAGTTATACATTGTACAATATTTATTTTTCATAATTATGTGACGAAAAAAAAAAAGCCTTGCGAAGGAATTTATGAACTTGTAAAATAGAATGCTATTACATTCATATATTTAATTTTATGGCGATAATATCATCATCAAGAATTGTTTGAAATGACACAAATGCTTTTACTTAGAAATAATTATTATATATTTATATACATCAAGTAACATAATTACTCATAATAGGCATTCTCACGTGAATGTGATGATGTGGTGTGTGTTTAATTTTTAATTTGTTAAAAATTTATTTGATAAAAGTCAGTTTAGTAGAAGTTAGTTGTTATAATAAAACTTGTATTTAGATAATTTTTTAAAAGTTAGTTTGGTAAATTAAAAATTATTTGGATTATATATAATGAAAAGTGCTTTGAATGCACAATTATCAAAAAAGATATTAATTTATGATGATATATAATTTTTGTTATACAAATATAATATATTATAAATACTTAAAAGTGTGATAAAAATTTTAAATAACATCAAATTTGATATGTTAAATAATAAAAATTAAAAAAATATAAAGTTTGATATATTGAAAAATATCTATAACAAATAGTTTAGATATTATATATACAATAAAATTTATAATTATTCACTCCAATATATTATTATTTTAATTGTTAAAATATTTGAATACATATGAATGCAAGCTTTAATATTGTCAATTTCTCATGTTATTTAATTAAAAAATATATATGGAGGACTCTGAGATCCAGAAAGAATTGCAAGGCTAAACACAAATAAGGAAAAAAAAAGGATTTATCATCCTACATGGCATATTTTTTGGAGGGGTGACAAGAAAATAATAGGACATCCAAATCTCATTTGCATAGTCAGATTGAAAAGCTAGGAAAAGTTAAATTGGCTGAATGTGGATTGATTTGCATTTTCAAAGCACTTTTAAAATCTACTTTTATTCCATAATTTTTTTTCAAACAACTTTTAATTTTTGAAAAGTGCGAAAAGTACTTTTCAAAAGTTAAAAGCTAATTATCCAAACACACCTATATTAATAAACTTTTAGATATTGGGAAAAAAAGGGGGTTAAGGTTCAATTTTAGTTTTGTATTTATTTTTTAGGAATGCTAAGTACCTTATATTGATGAATGAGATAATTTTTCCTTTGCCTTATTTTCTAGAGGAGCAAAATTTCTCCTATATTGGTTAGTTGATTATTTTCCCATTTGACACTTTGATGTAAGGTATGTAAAATCAGACTGGTCATTGAATCGGTCATGGTACTAGATCACGGGTTAGTAGTTCAACTAGAGTTGAATCAGGGATTAAATCGGTCATGATTAAAGTAATACAATTTAAACAAAAAGACATTGATTACAAAAACATTCAGCCAAATTCAACTATTAAAAATTCTAACAATAATAAAATACAACATTTTAAATATCTATCATTATAATTACAACCCTTTAATCATTAAAAAGTCTAAAATTAATATTTACCAATACTAAAGTCATTATTAACTTCATTCAAATCTCTAAACTTAAAGTAACAATCAGCTAAAGTAAGATAAAAATGCAAAGGGGAGAGGGAAGAGAAGACGAGACACAAGCTATAGAGACGGACCTAATGCAAAGGGAATGCGAGCATGAGCTAGGATGTAAAAAACTTCAGTAGTAAAGGTGAGAAGAGAAAAATGTTGATGGTGAATGATGAGACTCATGAAGACGAACACTTGGATGCGTTGATTACAGCATCACTTGAGCACTATCTATCGAGCTAGGCTGTATGTTATCGATGGCAAGAAGAACTATAACATCTAATCAGGTTTATAGAAAGCAGAGGTTTCTAGTGAGCAAAGGAGAAGAGACAAAGACGAGACCGATTGGCCAATTAGGTTAGGGCGAGAGATGAATGTCTATACTGATGCACTCTACTCTGCCTTTGATTTCATTTTTCATTTCTTTATTCAATTTTATAATTTGAAAACTTAAAAAAAATCCCCTAAACTGACGTTATTTTGGGGGTTTTGTGGGGGAAAATAATAACTTGGCCAGCCAAGTTAACCTATCGAGTTATACTAGGTTAACCTTAAGTTAACCGGGTCATATTAGGTCAACCACTGATTGAGTTAGGTGGAAACCCAGACCAATAAAGAGATAAGGTTACTAGTTTATGGGTTGATCCGGCTGGTCTGGTTTAGATTTCCATACCATATTATAGCATCCCTCAATCATTTGACTTTTCTTGAAAACATGGTCCTATAGGTGCACTTATGCTTTGGCTCCCCATAATGCTTCAAATGGCTCTTTAAATTCAAAAGCACCAAGAAATTCTTTTTGTGGTACTGATTGCAGGAATAAACATCCAAATAATGGCTCTTTTTGAAGTTATTCTTCATGCAAATTATCGATTTTCGAGGCTGGATTTTCTCGTGCAACTTGCCTCGATTGCAACCTTTGAATGGGCAAAAGAATAGCATCGTTTTACCACTAGCAACATTTGATTTATTATAGGGTTTTGAATTGGTTTACACATGCATGCATATGCATTTACAAATTCGTGTCTTGCTTGAATCCCTTCCTGCAATTTTAGATAAATGAGCATGCAAATTCGGCAATTCGACAGCATTGAGTTGCACGATCTCCTAATCAGACACCATGTCCATTTGGTCCTCACTAACTAAAGCTTTGGTGATCTCAATAGCACAAGAGAATTGTACAAAATTGAAACTTAGAATGATTCTAGATTCTGTTTCAAAAAACCAAAAACCTTGACCGTTTTCTAGTTTGTGATCTTCTTCTTCTTCCCTCCTTGGCTTTCATGGCTTCTTCTTCCAATGTGAGGCTTTAGCTTGGTTTAAGCTTTCTCTTCGTTCTTCACACTTCTACGCTCACACTAATTATGTAATTGCTATAAGTTCTTCATGGAGTGGTAAGATAGGGAGAGCTCTAACTATTAGTGCAACAAGCACTTTGGTTGTTTATGTGTTAGTGTTTTGTATCAGGTAGGGTTTAAAGAAAAGATGCAGGGAAGAAAGATATGTAAGCTTTTGTGGTGATAGATTTAGATAGAAAGTCAAATAGTTGAGGACACTTATGGTTAGCCATGAGAGTTAAAAAATTAAATGGTTGAGGGACACTTTCAACTAGTAAAAAAAAAAAAAAAGTTCCCATGTCAGTGGATCAAAAACTCAAAGATTATAAATTGGATGCCAAGTCACAAGGCAATGGCACCACGCCACAATACATCAACATAAAATAAGAAAATAAATGGCTTATTAATAAAACTTTAAAAAATAATTCAAAATGAAAATGAATTCATTTATTATTATAAGATGTCTAATGTTTTTAAAAATAAATATAAAGATAAAATTTAATTTTAATAAAAAATACTTGAGATAACAAGCAAAGATAAGTGACACCCAAGGAAGAAAAGCAATGATGGGCATTAAGTGGTACAGTAAATATATATTGTATTCATTCACGTGCTCATTTTACAAGCACGTGTGAATTCTAGCCTCCAAGGAGTTGGAAATCATCTCCATCGTGGACTAATAGCACACCCACGCACTTCATCATCAGCCGTTGGATCATATCACTGTGAGGGTGGCTCATCGTTGACCTCCGCTGATCCAAGTCCAATTCGAGTTCTACTCCAAAATTCTAAATGCGATGCCGAACACGACCCCAGTACTCTACACCTAGTCACAGGAGATAATTCTTTTATTAAAGTACACTTGCGCAGAAATGGAAGTTCCCGACAAGCTGACGCCGTCGGATGTTGTAAGGGGACTAGCGAACAAACTACTCGTTTCAAGTATCTTCAAGAAAACACGCGGCATACGTTGCAGATCTTAGAATCCGGGATAGATGTTTCGTTATCATCTCCCCTCTTGTTTTCGAAACTTCTTAGGATTGTGAAATTGAATTTCACACTCGGGTCAAGGGTTTTTTACTTTTTCAGCAGTTGTAATTGGGTCGGAAACAATGTTTGACCGATGAAACTGGTGATGAACTTGGGGCTTTGGTTCAGGTTCAGTTCGTGACCTGAGGGGTTTCGGAGGGAAATTGATGGCAGCCGTGAATCCACAACCTTTGCAGGCGCTTCCATTCGAGGAAAACGTGCGGGATCCAGTTCCTATAGAGGACGGCGACGACGACTATGAGGATGGGGGTGCTAGTGGCGATGCTATGGATGAGTTGGAAGAGGGAAATGTTAATTCAGTGACCGTGCCAAGCCATGGAGTTGTTACGACGTCCCGAACTAGTGAGCTCACTCTTTCTTTCGAGGGCGAGGTTTATGTGTTTCCTGCTGTGACACCGGAGAAGGTATTTAATTATATTTCCCTTTTCATTTGTAATTTATTTTGGCCTACACTAACCTCATAATTAAGTATATTAAGCTATTTATTAATTACTAATTTCTGTCTTTTAACTTACTCTTTTATATAGCTGCATTTGGACCTCGATTAGTCAATTTCGTTGAATTTCGTTGACTTGTGGGATTGTCGACTATGGGAAAACTAAGTTGAATGCAGTGCTTGAGTCTTCTTAATGCACTGAAGGACGAGCAGACAAAAGATGTGAATTTTATCTGCATGTTTTACGATGTTCTGATTTATACGTTACCACACGCAACGCATTATCCAACAAAAGAGTTACGTCGCATGATACATGATCTCTTCTCTCACGATGAACGGTTTATGTGCTTACTCATCTGTTATTACATGACAAGCAGTTCACAAGTTTGTTGTATATTTGTTAAGATATTGAAATTTGTTCCATGCATTTTGTACTTTACATTTTTGTCCCTGACCTTGCGGCCCCCCCTTTATTGAAATATCTTATAACAAACCAAGTCAGTTTGACAGCATGATTAATTTATCAGCAAACTAAGAAGATATTATTTTTTCTGTGTAAAACACATAATTTCCTAAAATAAATGACAATGTCAGTTTTCTTTCCAATGTTTACAAGGTTCCTTAGATATCACAACTAGAGTTTGTATCAGCAAACCAAGCTGATAATTATGCTGTGTATGATACCTGAAACTTCCTATAAGATAAAGGGCCTTACGCCACCCATTTTACGAGGATTTTGGATAGTATTCTTGAATATGCGTAGTTTTTATATTATGAAAAACAAGAATAAATCATTGTAAAATTTAATGAGACGACCAGTTTCAGCCGAGGAACATGGTCAAAATAAAAACAATTATTAATGTCTGCTTGAAAGAATTGGGGATATACTGACTAAGCAATTTTTGTACACTTGTAATATGTTAGGATCTAGAAAACACTCAAATCACCAGCATGGATTATATGTTCAAATTTAAAATTTTACATTGTAGGTGCAAGCTGTTTTGCTTCTTTTGGGAGGACGTGATGTGCCTGCATGTGCTCCTTCTGTTGAAGTACCATTTGACGAAAGCAACAAGGTAATGAAGGTACAATTTTATAAGAGTTGTTGTTTAGCTTGTATCACAATCTTATATTTGTGCATGTTGTCTGCTTCTATTTCTAGGGCATAGGTGATGCTCCAAAGCAGTTGAACATTTCGAGAAGAATAGCCTCCTTGGTTAGGTTCCGGGAAAAACGCAAGGAAAGATGTTTTGACAAGAAGATTAGGTACACTGTGAGAAAAGAGGTGGCACAAAGGTGAGATTAAATTTTAACACTGCACCATTTTGCCCCCAAAATTTGACCATTGGTTTTCATGTTGTAGAATTTTTCTACTAGAAATTGTATTACTTGCAATGGTTTTATCATTTATATTTATATTTATATTTTTCTCTAAATGTGGTGAATCTTTGCATATCATTGGAGTTTGATCACAATGTCATCCTTTGTGCAATTGACCCACTAATGAAGCAGGCTAGCATTTGGTCACCCATAAATGATGTAATTAATTTTAAGGGTGTGTTTGGTTCAAATGAGGGAAGGGGAGGGGAGAGGAGTGGATTTAATATCCCTTGTTTGGTTTGATTGGAGGGGAGGTGGGGGAGCTAATAATAGGTTGACGATTTCAGCTTATTAAAGTTGTTTTATTTTTTATTTATTATTTAAAAATAATTATATTATAATTTCACCTTATATCATAAATTTTTTTTGAAGAATCAATATAATAATTTTGTGATGGAGATTTAGTAGTATGGATATCAAGTCTCACATTGAATAGTATGTGATGCTTAATGGGGTATTTTAGTTAGTTCTCACCCTCAACTTGGCTTTTGAGAGGCTGGAGCTCTCCTCACCACTCACAATTTCAAAAGACTCCCTTCCTCCCTTAGCATGAAAGTACATATTTAAAGAGTCAAAAAGTAGTCATTACCCCTACTGATACTACTCATATCCTAGGCTGCACCTAACCTGACTTTTCTGTTATCTTTTGAATCTTACAGTTTTAAACCTTGGGATAAACCTCTTGCCCACTTGTCTCTGTCTCCTCTAAATCACCTCCCTTGCTAGATTATCTACCGTAGGCCTTAGGAAATGACAGGCAAACATTTTGAGAATCACCACCCCTATCATATTGTAAGCTATCTATGTATATTTAATAAAAATATATTGAAATTTAGTTGAAAAAATGTTGAGCCAATATATTGATATTATAATTTATCTGATGAAGGTCTTGTACGTCAAGTATTATTTCCTCTTATATGTTTTCAATTTTATTCTTTAGCAACTTTAGAGCAAGATAACTCCACGTATTTTCTTTATTCTTTTATTTTTTGGGGAAGTTGTTTTTTCTTTTGATTCCAATAAAAAATATTGAAATTTTATATGTAAATGAATTATTTATTCAATTTTATTAGGTAATAAAAATTATTTTAATATAAGAGAGAAGGAAAAAGATAATTTTTTAATATCATATATAGTTTAGAATTTTCAAAATAACATGGGGGCAATTTAGTCCAGTGTAATTTTTTTCTCTTCCCTCCCCTCCGAAAAAACCCCAATTTGGAGGGGAGGGATATCCAATTTTTAAACCAAACATGAGCTCCCCTCCCCTCCATTTTTTATCAACCAAATAAGGGGAGGGGAGCAATTTCCCTCCCCTCCAAAACACCCCAACCGAACCTTTTTTAAGGTGGCTTTCTGGATAATTGAAGTTTGGAGAAAATTGCTGTTTGGTGCCTGTCTGATGAGTCTTTGAATTTTAATTGCACCCCATCAGTTGAGTCCTTGAATATTTCAATTCTCCTCATAAATTGAGTCCTTGAATGTCTCATTACACCTCATCAATTGCTTCCTTGAATGTTTAAATAAATGGTCTTGCATATGGGTTCTAAGTGACTTAGATGTTATTTTGAACTTTGCACAATGAAATTTGACAGAGTTATTAGTGGGCAGAGTCCTTACCAATCAGCCTGTTTCTTTTCATCAATGAATCTCAGCCCTTGCAGGTGTGGTTTTTTTTTTTTGGGGGGGGGGATTGTGTGTCTGTCAGTAGTTGAGTGCCATTTTGTGGTCTAATGCTATGATTGGCTTCTTCTAGTGTTCGGTATAATCTCAAATTGTGCTTGGAGGTTGATGTGTGCTTCTTTATATAGTAGGTGTGATTTTAGTACTAATGGTTTTTAGATTTTGGTTTTGTTCCTTCCTTATCTTTTGTTCTTTTCCGGTTTCCCTTTCCAGGATGCATCGCAAGAACGGACAATTTGCATCCTTGAAAGAAAGTCCTGGTTTATCTAATTTGGTTTCTACAGAAAGCTTTCTTCAGGATGGCACTCATTCTGGAACTCTGTGAGTTTCAAGCTAAGCTGTCCAACAAAATGTTAAATGTTTTATATCTAGAGGTTCTTCTGAGTATTTCTTACCTTTAAATGATTTTTTTTTTTTTTTTTGCAAAAGTTATCTGTGCTCCTTACTTGTTTCTCATTTCTTGCAGACGTAGATGTCAACATTGTGGTGTTAGTGAAAATAATACTCCTGCAATGCGTCGTGGTCCAGCTGGACCAAGGACACTATGTAATGCATGTGGCCTTATGTGGGCAAATAAGGTTGGTCATTGTGCTGATCATTTGAAATTATAGTGAAACTACTCATGACCTTTTACTTAACATTTAAGTTTCTGAGGTGAATTACTCTTTGACATGATATCAAAACCATACTGATCAAATGGTCAGGGGTTTGATCTTTGCCTTCGTTCTTCTTAATGAAAAATTCTTTCAGCATGAGTTATGAAGGCTTGTGCTTTGCCCGTGGTTCAAGTTCCATAGATTTTCACATGAAGGGGCATGTTACAGATTATGGTAAAACTATTCAAGTTTTCATGTATGATTTCAAGGTTTTGACTTGAATCAGTAATTGACAATGATAAATGTGTTTTTCAATGGAATGCTTTGTGTGAACTTATCTTACTGAATGGAAACTGTGTTCTTATAGAGAAAATAAAAGAAAACTGGAATCCCACTCCAAGAGAATGCATAATTTTCATAATATCTAAAAACAAATACTCATTAATTAATGCAAAACAGAAAAGAAAATACAAACAACTTGCTTAGAATAGACAGAGAATGATGTGATTTTCAACAGGTAAAATATGAAGAGGTATTGGTTCTTCCCTTCTTTCTGAGTGTACCCGTCTGGTTCTGTTTTACATAATTGCTAATTGAGAAATGTAACAGTGTGGCACAAATTTTGAACTATTTTACTATTATTTGTATTAAACCATTAATTATAATTGTTGACCGCACTATTATGGTTATTATTAGAACTGAGGATCCAAAGATATAACCTTAGGACTTGGGAAGTGCGTTTCTGGTATGAAGTTTTGCATCTTAGGATACCCTGCTTTTGTTCATTACTTATTTGTATCAGCGGAGAATAAGATGTTTTATTCTGACTAAACTAAATGGTATTGTTGAAGTGCAATCTTCTTTCTCACCTTGAAAATCCAGTTGACTGTTGCTGTTCGTTGAATGTTGATCTCTCCAATTGTTTTGCACTTAAAAATGGCTTCATTTTTCCTGGAATCTGCTTGATTCTGACAGGGAACACTCAGAGATCTCAACAAGGGAGGAAGAAATATTTCTGTTGAGCAAAGTGAAGTGGTATGTAGGATGAGTTGCTTAAATATTTTCCTTCATTCCCCGTGAGTTAGCCGATTGTGTATGCTTTGGTGGATGATATCTGCATTCCTAATTGGTTTCATGTGACTTGCGCTAATTTATAGATAAAGTTAAAGATCAATTGGACAGGTGTCATTGTGAACTTCACAAAATAAAGAACTGATTTGTAGTTAGATGGAAAATATATAACTTCAGATTATTTAAGAGGAGATTATTTTTTTTTCTTACATATAATTTTTAGAGATTTTTGGTTGGCTATATTTTGGTCAGATTTGTTTGAACCAGATATGTAGAACCATATAAGTAGCTACAGACAGATGTTGTTGTTTGTTGACATGAAGCTAAAATTTTTTTTATCATCGCAAAGATTAAACAGTAAGTAGACAAGTACTATTACATTCATCAGATTTTGGAGCCGTGTACGTAGTCTCAATTTAGGGGAGGAGTACCCTGACCCTATGGGTTCTGATAGCAATGAAATGCTGTTCTGCCGTTTTTAGTTGCCAGGCATTCATATTTACAATCTCTTGCATTCTATAGGGAATCCTGATGAAATTTGTTATACTGTGAAAGGTAAAACGTGGTATTTAGTGCTATGCTTCTATTTGATTGTCATTTGTCATTGAATGCCATAACTTTCTAAGCCTAATAAATGATGCTTTTAATTCTGGGCTTTTTATGTGGATGGAGGTATTTTATTACCTAAAAGCTTGTACTCTTACGTGATTTAGGTTTTATATTTGGTAGTTTGTTTTCTATGTTCATGCTTTAGGTTGCTGTTGCATTGTGTGTTGGGTGTTAATGGCTTGACGCAGATTCTAGGGGTTATTGGAGAAGCTTTTAAACAAATATTAAAACTAATTAAATCTGGAATATTTCTAGGTCTGGATTCCAGACTCTACCTAGAGTTCAAATTTGCCCTAAAGCCTACTATTTTCTTTTCTTCTCTTTTTTTACAACTACAACAGCATTGTGCTCTAAATCATTTCTTCTTTTTAGATGTTAGGAATTTGTTAGCAGAATAACGTACTTTATTTTCTTTCCTTTCTTGCTTCTGAAGCGTAACTTTCATGTCTCTTTGGAGGTCTGATTTAACCCCCTATTTTCTCTGGGTTTTTGCACACAGGAGTTTTTATTCAGATCAATAAAATTGTTTCATGAAAAGTTTTGGTGTTCTCTGTCTTTTATTTAATGGAGGAGGGTGGGTTGGTAATTTAGTTAGTTATGAATTAAGGACAGAATATCCTATCATGGGAAGAGAGAGAGTAAGTGGAGGTTGGCAGAGTAACAAACTCTGCCACTGCACAGTGGGCCATAGAGCCTATATGTGAGTTCGCTGAAGGCTGATTTTGTGTATGAGAATACTTTGGGAAATTGAGTAGAAAGAAAGACCTTTGCACCAAGTATCCATTGCTATGTTTTCTTAGTAGTGTTGTTATCCATGTATGTCCTATGAGCGCCTCATTGGATTTTATATTATGCTGTGCGGAATTTGCAGGAGACTCCTCTTGAGGTCAAACCTATTATCCTAGAAGGAGGAGAATTGCCTGACATTCATAAGCAAGTAGAACGCTTCTACCCTTATTTTTAAGTTCATTCTTAAAAGGTTACTAAATGTTCTATCACTATAAAAACTTTTTCGTTGTATGTAGGGCATTTCTGAAGATCCTTCCAAGGCCATTGCTGAAGGGTCTAATAATCATGCTGTCAACCCCAGTGACGAGGTAGTTTTTTTTTTTTTAATGGAAAACAGTGTTGCAACCTATGCTTTCTCAGTTTTTTCATTCTATTCTTCATCCTCCTTTTGGAGAAACAGAACCCTAATGCTCGCTCCCCAGATTGGAGAGTTCAGGGTACTTGTAAACCTTGCATCAAAATCCCACATATTCAATCGAGAACTATGCACTGGATCCTAAAATAGTGAAACAAAGCCCCACCCTTCACAACTGATGCCCTTAGCGGCTATACTATAGATAGACGGCTCACTTGGTCATCCCGCTAGTTGCAGCCCTCCTTAGCAGCACTTTTCCATACGGCTGCTCCACTTTTGGCACGTCACTCATTGACCTTGCTGGTTGCTAGGGTATATAAAAAAGTTTTACATCTAGGAGTTAGAAGATAAATTAAGAATATATAATGGTAAAGTGAATCTAACCAAACAACTTGAACCTTTTTTGTATAATGAACAAATCTCATGCATAATTGTTAAAGTAGAAGTATTAACAAGAAAAAGAGAGGATAAGAAAAGAAGAAAATAAAAAAGTGAAGGAAAAATGGAGAAATGGAAAGAAAATTTCTCAAAAGAGAAGTGAAAAAAAAAAATGTTGGCCCTGAGACCAAAATATTTGAAAAATTGAACAAAAAAGTTTAAAAAAAAACCAAAAAAAAAAAAAAGAAAGTAAGAGGAATGTTAGACTATATAGAAGAATTTCCATACCTTGATGGTCTTCTCGCCATTTTGGCTAGAGACTTGGCTGCTAATAGTTGGGGCATTGGCTAGTTGTTAGCCTTGGTTTCGTCTTGTGTATTTAAAAAAAAAAAAAAGAATTCCCATATCTAGTGGTTATAAGTTAAATATAGGATATATAACTATGAGGTGGGTCTGATCAAATAGTTTAAGCTATTCTAGTGTAACAGACAATCCTCAAGATAAAATTAAAGTATTAACCTTTTGATAAAATAGAAGTATTTTTGAGGTTTTCCGTTCCTTTTATTTGCATCATTTGAAATGTTAGTCCCTATATTTTGAAAAATACTCAAAGGACCATGAGATGGTCCAAATAGAGTTAATTTTGTTGAGATGACTTAATACTCTTGAACCCTTGATGACCAAGGAAAAAAAAAATGCTGGTTTGGCAAAAAAAAAAAAAAATTATAAAATTGTTCGATAAAATTTGGTCTAATTAAAAAATAGGAAAAGGAATCTCACTTCCTTAAAACGATGATGTGCAAATGAGAGGGAAAAGGGCACCAGAGAATCACTTGGGCGTTGGACCTCAGCGAAATTAACACTATTTAAGCTAACTCAGGTTCCCTCAAGTATTTTTTTTTTTTAAATAAAAGGACTAACATTTCAGACAAAGCAAACAAAAGGGATGGGAAACCATGGGAATGATCTACAATGACTAGAAACAAAACCTGATTAAAGTATAAAATCTGCTATTTTCCCTAAAATAGAAGTATTAACATTGGCTGCCAGCCTCAAGGGTAACCCTTTTCATTTGTAGCATGTGAAGAAAGTGTTTGAAGAAACGAGATTCAGCTCTAATATCATCGATGGGGTCCTTTAAGAGAGCCATATCCCATAAGGTAGCGCATGAAGTTGGAAAACCTAAAATTCCTTATAAACACTGCGTTAGAATCCCATACTTGAGTCCCTACATCGGAACTGATCCTTACAGTGTAGAGTTTAGACAACTTATTGCCTGAGTTGACAATATGGTGGTTGTAATAAATGTCATCGTGTGTTCTTCAGGAATTGCACTCTGGTGAACACTTGTCAACCACAATGCCATCAGGCTTTTTGTCTTCTTCAGCGAATGATGTTGAGCAGGTACTCATCGTCTGAGTAGTTTATTTTATCTGACAAGTTAATGTTACGGGCACAGCTCTGCAGAATTGTACACTGAGCATTACTTGAGTTAGAGTGCCACTTGAATGTTGAACGGAGCGACCAATGTCGTTGTGAAGATTTGTGTGGGTAACATTATTGCATTACAGTTCCACTTTGGTCGTTACCTTACATGAGATTAATATGTTGTATAGGAACCTCTGGCTGAGCTTTCTAATCCTTCCGACACAGATATTGATATTCCTGGAAGCTTCGATTAGAAGGTACCAAAGTGCTTTATAATGTCAAGGAATTTTAAATACTAAGTATAGTAGCTTTACTAATGAGATCTGGTGGAAGTGATACGTGCTGAATGAGACATCTGAAAGGCGTTAAATCAAGTCATGATTGAATATAGTGCTCACAAATGTTGAAGTTCTCCGATTATGCACCTTTAGTGATTATCATGAAAAATACGACACATCATATAGGGTCTGGGAATTGTTTAATCCAACATGATTTTAATGATAAAAATTATCGTAAGAATCATTGCACGGCAACTCCAATTTCACGGATGAATCTTCAGCGGTGTGTAATTCTGAAGAACGAACGTCGCTTGCTGCAGCTAATTTGGATATTGAATTTAGGAGTATCATAATTAACTGTTCTGACACGTCTTGAGTATTTACCCTGCTGGCATCGGTTGAGAATCGAGAAGCTTTGGATCCGTTTTGGGTGTCCAGTCATCTGTACATACACATAAAAGCAAAAAGAGTTGTTTGTGGTGTCTTGTGTTCGTTGTTCTTTATCGCATGTAAGATGCATGTTACATCATGGGGCCAAAAAATCGTTGTAATTGATGATCATTAGCACCACTATTTTTTAGGATAAGTCATAGTCTAGCCCACCTGTCTGGTTCAAAATTCATTTGCTTTCTTGTTATTGTCATTCAACACTCTGGTTTGCTCTCTTGTAGCATGTGTTATTTTGCAATTAAATTTGAATAAAAATACTGTAAATATTAAAATCGTGACTGCTTTTGTTGTTTAATGCGAGTATATGTTGAGCATTTGACTGTTGTGATTAGCATTGACCTTTATCTTGACTTTGAAATATAAACTTTATTTTTAAACAACTGAACACTTTCAAATCTTTCGAGACACGAGAGATGAAAGAATAAATATTTTGATATGATCTTGATTCAATAATTAATAATTTTCATCGGGATTTCACGTTTTCAATAACTGGAGGACGTTTGGTTCATGTTTTATCTGGGTGCACGTGAGCGACAATTCAACGCAATTTTAGTCCCACTTCCGAGTGACTGATTACATAATTGTTGCTTCCTAATCATTAGGAAACATTCAACTTCTCAAATTTGTACTAGCGAGAAATCAACGACTATTGCGTGCTTTTCAAACATGGGTGCTCGGCCTTCCGGTATGGAAACGAAGGCTAATAGGCGTGTGTAGTTTAGGAGTCCCAAAATCTCATCTCCATACAATGGACCTGCCGTGTTCTGTATTCCATAGTCCACACTGATACAGTACCCTTGAACGGTCCTCGAAGCATGTTTGTCAGCCCAAAATGCTCATTTACCAGAAGCTACAAATAAGCTAGCAAACCCAGTAGTACCAGACATCAAATACTGTATTTAAAAAAAAAAAAAAAAAGCGGCAGCAGCAGAGTTCATCAGTCAATATTTGGTAGAAAGGATATAACCACGAGGTTCTATCACTGATGACTAAGGTTGACATCATAACAGAATATACCTTTGACAGAGATGACTTCATTTCTAACGTCCTAGATCTCTAGGTACCCTTCTGAAGATGTGGTTGAATCTTTCTAGTCTTTCACCCAAGGTACTTGACAGTTAAGAACGATTAGCTACTATATTCTTCCATTCTAGAGTCATGAAATGTGCAGGTGAAACGTGCTTTATGCTCTACTCGAGAAGAAAATTCCTTTAGATATATAACAAGAAAAATGTTTCTAACTTCTAACGCCTTCATTTAGGGATCCGCTTGAAGAATCGCTATCTAGTTGAGCCGTCTCTCCTGGTGATGATGGAAGCAATTCTGCTTGGGCGGATAAACCTGCAATAGAATGGAAGTGCAGCCAAAATTTACTATAATATTCAACAAGAGATTGTCCTAGACATGGAAAAAAGAAAGGTCAAAAAGTAAAAAAAGACAGACGCGTTGTGACTTGAGAATCACCAAAAATAGCACAGCAAAGATTAGTTGATTTTTCAAGCCTTGACAACATACAACCAGTTGGAGAAATTTAATGGCATGCACCTCAGCTGGGTAAATCCTTGGGGGCAGAAATGATGGACAGACAATCATACACCCATACGAACAATGGGAGTTTGCTTAAAGTTAAACACAAGAAGTCAAGAAGTCTATTAATCCCAATTGTTTACTCATGGTGGCTAAAACAAACCAATTAAGCACCTGAAGAGTTTGAAGCATGTTCAAACAAAGTAAGGGGATAAAAAAAAAAAATCTTCAAATGACGATCTTTATTGGAAGGTTCAAGTACCTCGGCTTACTAAAATATGGCCTCCAAATTATTGTCATTATCACAAGGTTGGAATTGCAGTCCAATTTTGTCATCTGATCACAACAAAAAACTAGGCTAATAAGTTGAATGAAAGTGAAACTTGCAAACCTTTTTTAGACTGGAACTTCTTAGTGTGCCGTCGAATAAGCTTTTTAGCTTTTGTAATTGTGAGCTGCCTAGCATAAGGGGAGAACTCTACATCACTTTCACTCCAATCACCACGAACATCTTCTTCACCCCTCATAGTTCGGAGAACAAATGCCTTTGCCTTGCGACGTTGAGTATTAAATAGTCCTTTGACGGATGTTACAAATCCATCACCTGCTCCATCACTTGGACGCTTAAATGGGTACTGATCAGATTTTCCAGCCTGGTCTTCATTGTCACTTGAGTAGTCAACTTCAGGACAGGTGGCTCCAGTAGGCTGAGTCTGGGATTTATCTTTGAATTTCTTACCCTACATAATCCAAATGACAGCCTCGCTCAGATTCAGTTTGTAAGTTTAAACAATGCTTTTTTTTTTTTTTTTGGGTGACATGAACATAATGCTTCATTTTAAGGTTCTGATGAATTTGCAGTGGCAGGCACATATAGCAGTTAATGCTACAAAGAAAACCAGTAAAGGAATGTAACCATCAACAATACAATGAAAAGAAAAAGGACATAAGTGATTTATCGACCTGCATTCCAGTCACAGACTTCAGAACTCCCCAGATGATGTGCTTCTTAACTCGGGAAAAGAGTTTTGGCCAAGTCCCAGTAAATTCTACGCGGTGAAATTGATCCATCAGTAATTTCAGATCACTCACAACAAATGGCGACCCGTCATAAGTAACCAGTAATTCAACCTACAACAAAAATACACAACACTTAGATGAAACCTGCTAGAATTATTGTGACATGTGATCGTAGATACAAGTTTCACTATTAGGTCAAATAACTACCAACCTGGCTAATTTTGATGTTGTGAAACTCCATCACCTTTCGTGGCTTAGATCTCTTCTCTTCTTGTGACTTAACCACTTTTCTCTCTTTCTCTTCACATGATCGACCAGTTTTGACAACTTTGGAATCTTTTAATACATTCTTTGAGGCTTCATCTTGTTGCACAATAGAGTCAAATGAGCTATTATTCGAAGAAGAGACACTCTCTAAGACAAGTTCATTGGCTACAGATTCTGCAACAGTTTCTTCCCATGTTCTGTCAAAAGAAGATGTTCTTCGCAACTTGGGGGTTGAACCAGCACCAGGGTTTTCCACGACATTTTGCAATTTGGATGCCTGCAAGCAGGTTACCAAAAAAAAAAAAAACAAAAAGCTTATGAGATCATGCATCTAAAACTACTAATAATATGTGGAGAGGAAAAAGGACAAAAAGGAAAAAAGAAATATTTTCTCCGAACTTTCCAATCAACGTATGCCATTCTTGATTCTGGTCATCCAGAAATAAAAAAGTCATTGGAGACTCACTTGGGTTGCATCAGCAGGAATGATAGGCTGACTTGTGGCAGGAAATAGCATTGCAGAAATGCCAGATTTGGATGAGACCTCAGACTCTCTTGTTGAGTGATTGCTAGGAGCAGAAACTTCTTGGATTGCCAAACCTTTCTTCAGACGTCTTGCAGCAGCAGTGGTTGAAACCTTCCAGACCTCCTGCATTATTTTATGGATAAAATAATAGATTTTCTTAAGAAAATAAGCGTAATCATGAAAAAGAACAACATACCAAAAGGCCAATAATAATAATAACAACAACAACAATAATAATAGGTGAAGACAGGCTGTCCAATCTCTTTGAATGTAAAAGCCATGAATAGAAGACTGAAGAGAAGCGCTGGATACAATTATGTTTCAAAATACAATGCAAAGGCAGATAAATGCCCCTGAAGATGAGACGCTTCTTTCAACTAACAGTAATTTTAGCATCCATAAAATAATCATAATTTTAACTAAAATTATCTGTAAATTAAGTTTTGGTTCTGAAGGTCATAAAAAATTTAAATTTATCAACTAACCTGCCTGCGTTGTGAATCTTGTTCTTCTTCTGGGAAGAAATAACCCCACATCATTTGGTATATCGCCTCTGTCAAATGGATTTTAAGGGGATAGATCTCTACCTATAATGCAAACGAAATTCATGTCAGGAAATAAAAGGCGCCAGAGTCAATATTCCAAGCAGACAATATATATATATATATATATATATTTTGGTCAGCAAGCAGACAATATATTAATAGCAGGAAGTTTTAATCTCTGATTCTTAATTCTTTTTTAACGTACTTTCAACAGGTTCGCAGTTCTTTATAAAATGTAATAGATGAAGCCGGTTAGTATCATAACTACGTCAACTTATTCATGTTAGCAGCTCAATTAAGATCACATAATTTACAGTGATGGCTGAATGGAAGTCCAAATACCATCAAAGTAGATGGCGGAATTTTGCAGAAAAATGGAGAATATAAAATAAACAATACAAGATATAAAGAAATAGGAAAGTCATAGAAGCTCTGTTGAAAAATCACAACATATTCACAAAGCAAATACAACGGCATGAACTTCTTTTCTGTCGTTCTTTGCATTGCCCTCCACCCAAATATACCCAAAAACTTCTTGCCTTCATAAGATTTCTCGTGATACTCCCAAAAAAGGTGAACATAAACTCTTTATTCTACAAAAAGCAGCACGGTTAAGTAATAAAATGTTCTATCTCTTTATATTTATTCGTCTACTGCAATTGACAGTTCATTATGCATGCAAGCTTGACACCATGCTAGTCGCACATGTGTTGCTTTGATCATGGAGGATATTAACGTTTGAGATTCCCAGCAATTTCATGTATTGTGACAGACCTTTGATGATAACATAACAGCTACCTAGACCAACTTGACTTGAACAGACATCAGTATCAAAACTACTCGAGGCTACCAATAAAAGCTGAATTATAATCAATCTCTTAAATGCTAATGCCATACAACCCTTTCTTACACTGATGACCCAGTTGGCGTGGGTTCTTGAACTTACAAATCCTCTAAGATGTGCCAAAGAATTTTCCACAGCAGCTTGACAAGGTTCTATTATCTTTGGACAGGATATACTTGAAAAGAGACTACTAAAATAAGCCGTAAATAAAAGCTTTTTTTTTTTAAAAAAAAAAACTAAAGTGAATAATGGATGACTCACAGTGAAATGTCCAAATCACATGTGGCCTAATCTCCTCATCTGAAGATCCATCAAAAACCAAACTGCCATGCTTTATTAATTTTTCATACATCTCATTCTCAGTTTTGTATGCATAGGATTTCAAGTGATCAGCAGATTAGGACATCTACTTGCCAAATGCTATCACTGACCTAAGGGTAACAATTACCTGGAAAAGTTCAAAGGGAGAATTTCCATCCTTTGGAGCACCCTGCCTTGCATCTAGTCTGAGCATGACTTTTCTGTAAAAGTCCAAAAAAGAAAAACATGCAATATCAGAACACCGAGAAATGAGATCCTAAAAAC